GAGAGAGAGAGAGAGAGAGAGAGAGAGAGAGAGAGAGAGAGAGAGAGAGAGAGAGAGAGAGAGAGAGAGAAGAGCAGTAAAGAGAGAAAAGAGTAGAAAAGGGAGAGAGATTCTTTCGTCGACTGCTCGGTCTCTAGGAGGTAATAAAAATGTGTTACATGACGACAGAATCTTCGTCCCACAACGATAAGAGTCTCTTTAGAGGGCGTCGTTTTATCTACATATGCAGCGGAAATTCTCCGAAAACGTGCGTATATTTTAGACGGAAGTTAATGCGACGCGTGGTTGATGTTATTAGATATGGCAGTCAGAATGTGAATTTCTTGGAAACTGTCAAGCACGAATTCAGACATACAACATGAATAAAGTGAAATATTAGTCGGATAATAAGATGAAATACGAAGGAGCTTTAGATTAGATTTTTGATAAAAATAGTATTTTATGCAAAAAAGAAATAATTCTAATCGCAAGATGCTATTTCCAGTGTAATTCCGTATTCTAAGCAATAATTTTAACCGAAAGAATGTTTTTCTTCGAATGAGGTGGGTTATTAATGGGAATTCCACTGGATATTATTTCAACTTTTGCTCCTTTTGAATCAAGAGAAATATGTTTACTTGCAGCAGAACATCCTCTTATGCATGAGATACGACAAGCAAAACTTGTAAATAAAAGACAAAATTTCTCTAACTTGAGGGACATTGCACTTAGAATGTTGTTTTTTGGTTTTAGAAGAATCCTCTTGAGGTGATACATAAGAGTAAATTTCTCTAGGATTCAGAGAATTTCGCTAAAGATGAGATTATATTTTTTGCGTATTCAAATATTTAATGTTCGCAGCTTTCCTCGCTCATTCTTAACATTGCAGATGCTCTTCGATCGATTAATAAATCTTGTGTTTTTCATAAGTTCTCAATCAGTGTTACACATTGGGAAAAAAGTCCGTTACAGTCATCGTTTGTGCGTTGTCCTTCCACGCGTAAGCGAACTTCCGGTCTCTCTAACGTGAGATTCAGATCAAGGTGCGGTAGTACTTGTAACCTGTATTAATCCGTCGTGTTCGCGTCAATAACAAATACAATCGCGGAGTGAAGAGCGCAATTACGCGAGAAATAAGCGGGATCTGGAGTATCGCTTCGCTCAATAATAATCGTGAGGTTGTGGGTTGTTAATTGGAACAATCGATCAGCCTTGTACGGTAATGTCATAATATTATCTTGATTGCTCCAGTTGGCTCACGCGTAAAATATTGTTTCATTCGTATAAATTGAGAGAGACAGAGAAAGAGAGAAACTACATATCTTACATTATTTACATTATGAGTTTTAGAGAGAGAAACTGTATATTTTAGTTAAAACATTATCTACATTTTACAAATCTAAATTTTTTTCTGTTTGAGAGAGAGAGAGAGCGAGTTATTAGCGCTTAATTATAGATAATTTGAAGACATGTGGGGATCACACGAACGAGCGATAATAAACACGGACGACGAAATTATTCGAATTTCCAAGTAATCTAATATATACATATGATAGAGTTTTCAGTGTCTGTAACGTGGATTACATTTGAGCACCTAGCACGAATGTGTTGAGTAGGAAGTCTGGCTTCACGCATTCCTGCGGCTAAGTGTTGCTGGCGGTGTGCGTATTTTTAGAATAGCGGAATAATATAATCGGATCAGAATGTGCAACTTCCTGCCACGTAACTCGAAATCGGATCGCGAATTCTAACCGCCGAACTGTCTTTTTTCTCTTTTCAAGTGGTGTTGTAAATTCTCAGTGATTTCTCCATAAATATGTGTGTGTCTCTCTCTCTCTCTCTCTATCTCTCTCTCTCTCTTAGTATATTATTCTATGTTAAACAACAGAATTTGCAACTGTTCAAAAATTGATTCTGCTAAACCAGAATCTTGCTAACTTGAACAGAATCTTGGTAGGAATTCTAATTCGTTCATATTTTCCTATATAAATATATAGGATATTAGATTAACTAAATAGTTAATCTAATTAAATTTATTTTTCTATGGTTATTTACAAAATGGTAGAGGAATTTGTATTCAGCTTAATAAGTTTCAATTGTACATCGCGGTTTTCGTATATTATTAAGTTTCTAAATTCAGTTGTAAAGGTACAGCTGTATTTTTTTAAATATTCCTGACCAAACACCTGTTCTGTGTGTACAAGTTGCAAAACTTTGGTATCAGATAAATATCTAGGTGGACTGACAACTTGAGATATCAATCTAATTTGATTGATATCTCAAGTTGTCAGTCCACCTAGATATTTATCTGATACCAAAGTTTTGCAACTACACACAGAACAGGTGTTTGGTCAGGAATATTTAAAAAAATACAGCTGTACCTTTACAACTGAATTTAGAAACTTAATAATATACGAAAACCGCGATGTACAATTGAAACTTATTAAGCTGAATACAAATTCCTCTACCATTTTGTAAATAACCATAGAAAAATAAATTTAATTAGATTAACTATTTAGTTAATCTAATATCCTATATATTTATATAGGAAAATATGAACGAATTAGATTGATATCTCAAGTTGTCAATCTTGATATTTTGTGATCGTTTTCTTCACATATATTAAGCAATACTCTTCAAGTCATTTTTGCACTACTTCCGTCGTATAAAGGTATTTGTAACGCTGCGCAACCAATACGACGTCAACTCTGCAGAAAGAATTTTTCCAGTGAAGTTTTCAAATATGGCATCCCCTTAAAAATCTCGAATTGAAAAGTGAAAGTTAACGAACAATCTTTGTTCTTCGATTTCGCATTAACTTCAGCGCAAAATTTTCACACAGATCACGTTTCTACACCTTTACCTTAAATCTTTGTGACGTCGCGGGTGTGAATGAACGTTCAAGCGTACATCTGTTACACGTAGATGTTGCAGCACGCTGAGCGAAGTTCACGAGTTGGTGAAGATCTTTCTTCTCCCTCAAGACCGCTGTTATAATTTTTACGACCAGACAGAAAGAGAGGGATTGCAGCTTTCACTTGCTTGAACGTATCTGACATGTTTATGTGGCGGCTATTCGTCTTCATTATTGCCGGAGCGTGGCGCCAGAAGTTCGCGACGATCTCGCGTGTCTCTAGCGTGCCGCCTCTCTCTCCTTCAAAACCGCGACGACGTCTTTATTTTCCGTATA